TGCTATAAATTCATTATAAATAAATTTGTTTTATTATTTAATTTTATAAAATCCGTATTAACTATTATTTTATAAATAGGGTGCTTATTTTCGAAGGTGCTTACTTTTAGTTTTTACAAACACTATGGCAAAAGTAGCAGGGTGCTTATTTTCAGAAGGTGCTTAATTTTAAGATTTTACGGTATATTTAGGTAAACTAAAGCATCGTAAAATAAAAAATTAAAACTTTGGGTTCAAGCTTTTTATAAGGACGGTAGAAAAGGTTATGTGTAATAATATAGTTATTGAAGGATAGGAATCTTTTGTAGTTTTTTTTTTTTAAAAGTCTTTTGTGTATACTATTTTAGCAATAATAAAAACGGCTATGAAGTATGAAGCTAGTAAAGTTTTATATTTAAAACAAAAAAATTCAAACAAAGAATAAATTTAAGCTATGCAGTTCTTTGTTACATTTATCGGAATTGCAAAAAATGTGTGTAGTAAAAATGACTTACCTTGATGCTGTACATCAATTAGAAATTTATCTGAAACAACTTCACGTATCGGAATGGAATGTGAAAAGAGCGTAGGTTTGAGATTACTTAGTTCTCTTGCAAAACTTGAACCGTTTCTTATGAACATACGCAAGCTTGAATCTTTATATGGAGTGATATACAGTAAGTAGATTGTAGTGAGTTATAACAATAACAATAATGGTGATAGAACAATCAAACATAGAAAATTTCCAGAAATGTGAGAGAGCAAAGAAATAATATGACGCAGGGACTCGCTTTATATGAAAGATGAGTGACAATAGGCTTCAAAAAGTTCATAAACAATAGATAAAATTTAATGACACATATTGATATCATATACCTTGATATGTATGAGAGAATTATAAATTTAGATTCTTCTTAATACATTTTCCCCTTTTTAAAGGATGAAAAACCAAAATGATGTTTCAATTGTCTTTAAATGAACAAGTGAAATTATCATCAGAAAGTGGCTGTGCTGTGGCGCGAGGCTTGCGTAATGTAATACAATAATAATGTAAAAAAAAAAAAAAAAAAAAAAAAAACTTCGATTTTATTCTGTTTTACTAATATATATTTTTTTTTTAAAATAAAAGGTTGTGTTACTCCACAAGTTTTTTTGTACGAATTAATAAAATTTTGAGTTTATAAAAGAATATTTGGTATCGAGTTATTTAAATGTTCATAACTGAACCAATAATGTGACCACAAGATATTTTGGAAACCTAAAAATTTTTTATAAGGTTTTCGAGAAGATCTATTTAATCTAACAATCACGGGTATTTGTCAAAAAAAAAAAAAAAAAAAAAATCAAATTTTAAATGTTTACTGCGGTTGACACATTGTGATGTTTTTTTAATGTAATCGCATCTATACTTGCATCAATGAAAAAAGAAGATAATAAACCGGTTCCTTTCTTCACAAAATCCTGTTTATTTCGGAATTTAAATGTTGTGTGTTCATCTTGCTTTTGTGAATAAAAGATTTTCCCCAACAAAAAAAAAAAAAAAAAAAAATTGTTTTTATTTAAGAAAAATAGAAACACCTCTTAACAATAATGATATGATATTATATTATCCTCTCCATGTAACACTTGAAAAATAGAAACACAAAAAGAAGCAATAATGTGAGTAGAATTTTTTGTCAATAAGAAAGGAAGAAAGATGACAAAATGAAAAACCGAAATAGGTTAAGTCGTTGTCTTACAACAGAATTATAAATAATTTGGAATTCGAAAAGCAGAATAATTAAAACCCGGAGCAAATGAAAAGGAATTAATACTAATTAAAGATATAGAAACAGATACGTAATGTAATGAAAGATTAACCAAAGTAATCAAAATAAATAAATTCACAATAATTTACATTAGAAAGGTCTAGACCGATACAATTGGATCAACAATGTTGATGTCTATTGTAAGACTTTTCAAACAGGTTCAATAACATGAATCAGATTACATGTGAATACACTTTTTGAAACAAGTAATACAGGAACAAAAACCACTCAATTACCAACATTCTTCAAATTCAACTTGCTACAAAGTAATCAGATAAAAAGATTTTTCATGCAGATAAATATTCGGAAGTTTTTTTAATAAACTGTAAAAAAATGTATGTGATTGACATTATATAAATTTTAATGCAATGTTTAAAATATTTAATTTTGCAGTAGATGAATTAGGTAACACTTTTCAAACAATGAATCAATTGGTAACGAGTTGCGGAAATTAAATAAAAAGGGCTACCTTATCAGTAATGAAATAAGGCTAATATGGTAAATTTGGATGCTGCGCATAAAGTGTCAAATATGGTTAAATTTTACATCACAGGACCGATAATTGTCAAATGGCCGGACTGGTAGCGGGAAAGTCTGAACTTTAAAATATTCCAATTATGGCAGGGATGTTTGTGCTATTAACCGAAGAGGTTGAAACGAAAAATTCATCGATTGGTTGATGGGAGAAAAAAAAAATAAAAAGCAACACAAGATTATTCATTCCGATATGCAAGCCATCATGGGTACAAAAAAAAGAGGTGATGAATATAATTGAAACCATGAAAAAAGGGGGAGATCGGTCTTTCACTCCGTTTTTTTTGGTATTTATTGACAGTATGATACAAGAAACCTTTTATGCATGACATCATTTAATGGGCAATCTTCTGCAAAATTAAATAAAATTCGGTGAATTTTATATTTTCCTCCTTGTTGGAAATGTGCCAAACCGTCCACTCAAATTAGTCTGCTCATTTTATAAAAAGTGATTGTAGTTGCTTATTAAGGTTGAACTCAAACTATGACTTACTAGAATGATTTGGTTAAATGTGAAAAAGATGAATGAAACAAAAGACTTAAAAAAAGTAGTTCAAAAAAAAATTCTCCCCAATCAAAAATTTTTTTAAAAAAAAATCTCATCAGATAAAACATCACTTTTTTTTTTGAAAGAAAAAAAGAAAAAATTTTTTTATTATGTTATTTAAATTGTTTTTTATTGTTATAATGTTTTAATGTTTGTTTATTATGATGTTTGTATTTCTGATATGATCAGTGATAGGATTAACGTTCTTTAAAGGTAAGTGTAGTATCGCCAAATTTTCCCCTTTCTAATTTTTTTTTTTCTCCGACCATTCTCAATTGTTCTGATTGTTTGTAAAAATATTCCTTTTTGCCGCTATAGCAGGTATACTTTTGTATAACGTAAGAGTTAATTAAAAAAGTATAAACTGAAACTAACGACGCAGCCATCAACCTTTCATTAATTTCCCTTACGAAAATTTGCCGAAAGTGAGACAAAAAAAAAAAAAAAAATGGTGGACTTATGTTGTGTCATTTGAATTTTTTTCTTGTATGTATTTATATAAATAAATATATATTTCACTTTTTCTCTAGACTTTTTTAGATGATGTAAAGAGAGGAAAAAGAATTCTCATGCAATTAATTGGGCGTGTAACTCATTTTTTTTTTCCCTTTTTCTGTATAAATAAATTTTATAGTATAGTATAGTACAAAAAATATAACTGAATTTTATTAGTTAGCATTGAAATTTTTTTTTTTCCGGTAAACATATATCATCACACAAATTCTAACTATTCCTTCCCCCCTTTTTTTCATTTTTTTTTCTCCTCTGATTATTTTTTCCTCCATTAATGTTTTGAATTTGTTTTAAAGGAGAATATTTTTATTTTTTTTTATTTTTTATTTTTTTATCTTATTTTTATCTAAACCTTATCCATTTTTCTTTAAAGAAAAAAAAAAAAAAAAAAAAAAATCGACTATTTTTTCTTCGCGCGCACGCACACTAAAAAAAAATATATATATATATATGTATATGTATGAAAAATTTTAAGAATGGGAACTCTTGAAAGACCGTTTTCTTCTTCTATTCAATCTTATTCACAAAATGACTCTCACTTATCAACGTCTCAACAATCTTCCGCACCTACATTTTATGAATCAAGAAACGAACGAAGATTGTTTGGACATCCTCATATATACCCACCTCCATTTCCTCCTTCTAGAGCGAGAGACAGCATTGATACTAAGCAAAGTATTAGTTTGTTAAATTCGAATTTAGGTTCTGACGATAGTTCTGGAACAAAACGAGTGAATAAAACTCATGTTCCTAGCGCCTGTGTCAACTGTAAGAGAGCACACCTTGCATGTGACGGTTAGTTATCTTTTATCTTTTTTTTGGTCAAAAAAATATATTTTATAATGCAAATGGTGCTCTTTTTTTTGTCACACGTCGATGAAAACTTCTCTGTCATTCAAATTTCGACACCTTCACAATACTCTGATATGTTATACATTTACGCCTATTTTATACACACTAAAATCAATATTTATATATACGTGTGTGGTGTGACTAGAGAGGGACGACTGTTAGTTTAATTTTAGTTTAATCTATCCCTAATCGTTATATCCAATCCCTTGGATTGTTTGTGCATCGGAAAATTTTTTGAATCGGAAATTATTTTGATTCTCTCTTGGAAAATTTAATTTTTTACCGCAACAAATCAACACCTTTACATCTCGTATAAAAATTTTCGTTTAACGAATTTAATTTATACTTACATTTTCTTTTTTTTTTTTTCCTTTTTTTTTTCTTTCTTTCTTTCTTTCTTTTTTTTTTTTGACGTTAAATTCGTTGCAGTATCGAGACCTTGCAAACGATGTGTAGCTCTTGGAAAAGTGGATACTTGTATCGATATAAAACACAAGAAACGCGGACGACCAAAATTGAAGGACAAGAAACCACATCCTTACAATACTCATGCAACTGCAGACGCAAAAACTTGGGGATCAAATCCTCAATTTCTACCACCAACTACCACAAACCCAACACAACCAACGCAACCAACGCAACCAACACAACCAACACAACCAACACAACCAACACAACCAACTTTACCACAACAGAAAGATCAACCCCCGTCATTTCCAGATTCGCGTCCGTTACCTCCTAGAAATCCTGTGCACCAGCCTCGTCATCAACCTTCATACAATGTAAAATCACCAAAACTCATTAGTCAACCACCACCTCCACCTCCACCACCTAGGCCGATTTCAAGACCACAACCCATAATACATTCACAAGAACATAGTCCCATCATTACAATGTTTTTGACAGTCGACAACGTTTCCTGTGCAAGAGTTTCGGAAGAATGTCTTGGAATTATGGGATATTACCCGTTAGAATTATTGCATAAATCCTTATATAATTACGTGCATGCTCAAGACATCGAAAGGGTACAAAAATTGGTTTCTTCGTTATATGAGGATGCGTATCGGTATTGTCAAGCATCCCAATATTCATCATCTAATAATACCCCCGTCACATCCGAAGATCCAGGATTTTCACAAATCAGCCCAGAAATTTTACAACATCCAGCTTCTAGGGGTCCAATAAATGACGTATCTGATTTGATACACATGAGACAAAGAATAGGTCAATATGATTTGTATGATGTAAGAATGTATTTTGGTGGTGGTCTCGGTGCAAATTTGGCACGCAAAGAAACTTGGAATAAATTGTATATTGTGGGACGTTTCACTCGTGTCAAAATTGGAACTTGCTTAACAAACGACGGGTCTAATTACGTTCAACCAAGAAATTCAGTTGCTGGAGGTTTTTCGACATCAAACACATCACCTTCAAATATCCCAATTGATCCCGAGCTATTAAATATGCATCATAATCACATTGGTCCGTCCGGTTCGAGTTTAGGTGTTGGAAGATCGGGTCTTATAAGTCCCGTTTTGTCACCAAGAACTCCTGAAATTGTTCCAGCACCTTTATATGATGACTTACACCCTATACCGAATTATACTTTCGGTCACAAAAAACCTCTTCACCCTCATACTTCGTACGATCATTTTTCACAAGATCGTCGTTCGCAGGATCATCGTAACGTTTCTGAAACTTATGCTCCATCTTATTCACGTACAAATCCAAATATTCCTCGACATGAACCTCTTTATTTACCCTCTTCATCTTCAGGATCACAATCCTCATCGTTATTCGAAAGGCGCTCTTCGGCGTTTAATATGGTCAGGCCATCTCCAATCGATGGTTCCTTATCTTATTACAGCGAAGCCGATAAACATTCAACATACATCAATCGATCAAATCGTCCGCATAATTATCATAATAATAATTATAATGTTAATTATAATCATTCGCATCATCAATACCATGATGATAGGTATCAAGATTATAGTGATAATTATGATAGTGATAATGATTATAGTGATACGCAATCTTCGTCGTCACAGAGCGATTCTTTCCCAAAATTTCAAAATGATGAACGAGTAAAAGACGTGATTGTTTCTTCTATACCAAGGGCATCATCTTCACGTGTGGGCACAGTTCGAGAAGAATGTTCTTCAACAAGGATGAGCGTAAATTCGTTACTATGTTAATAATGGGTTTCGATTTCTTTATTTCTTTCTCTATTCGTCATGTTTGCAACGCATTTATGAATGAAAGGAAATAATGTTAATCTTGTATCTATGACGCCCCCCTCTCAACTCTTAAAATCTAGGGTTATGTTGGTATACTCGCAATGGGATGTGATTTATGATATTTTTATTACTATTTTAAAATTCCATATACATATTTTTCATATTTCTTATATATACATACACATACACATACACTTTGGAGATTTCTCTTCTCTTTATTTTATGAAGAAATCAGGAGATTTTATACAAAAATTCTGTGTAAATTTTTTCTCGCGTTTCCTTTTGTTTGTTTTATTTATCACAACAAAGACCCCTGGCTTTATTATACAGGTGGAAAAATCATTGGATAAATTGAGGTGGAGAATTTTCGGCGAGATGGGCTTTAAAAGATGTAATAATGAGCTAATAATATTCACGAAATTCCTAATCATCCTTCCATCACATTTTTATACTCCAATTAAATCTTTTAACGAGTCCGTCGATCGGAAACCCATTCCGCGCTTAATTTTCCATTTCAAAATTACTTTTCTTTTGTATAGAAGTTTTCTTTTAGATTTTTTATATATTATGTTATATTATATTACATATTCTTTTTTTTTCAGGTCTTTTTTTTTTTTTTTTTTTGGTGATATCCACTGTATTTATTATTTGCACATATATATATTTATTATTATCCTTATTTATTCTTATGCATATTTATTATTTTTATTTTTATTATTATTATTATTTATTATTATTATTACTACTATTATTATTATGTTATTATTATTATTATTATTATTATTATATTTAATTTTTTTTCTACTAGTGATGGGTGTACTGGATAAAAAAGTAAAAAACAGAAACGCGGTTTTTTTTTTTGTGATAAAATTTTCTTTTTTTTGAAATTTGTTAATACTTTTGGGAATATTTATTATATATATATATTCATATTTTTTATTATTATAAAATAAGAGATTTTTTAGCAACGTTCCCTTTAAAAAATTACACGTTCATTATTTCATGAACATAGTTAGTTCCTTTAATGAAAATTTAGTCTAATTTGTCAAAAAAAAAAAAAAATTTACACGCGTTGCAAATTATGATACTTACTTTATGCAAATATATGTGAAAAAAAAAATTTTTTTGAAACAAAAAAAAATAAAATAAAATACATTTAACATTCTATCTATGTGTTAAGAAAAATTAATTCTCCGGATCGACTGATAATATCATATTTGATTTTGTCCGAGTCAAATTAAATTGAATTTCGGGTAAATTTCTTCTCTCACATTCAATTCGTAAACGACATTGAAAATCATTGTAAATTATTAAGTCGATTAAAGATCAATTCTTAAAATGTATCCTTTATAAAAAAATTTCCGCTGAAGCCCTTACATTTCACGTGATTTTTTGTCATTCAACACTTTTTTTTTTTTTATATGCGGTGAAATGTACGATTTATTTGGTCTAGATTGCGGATATTAAAAAAACCTTATCGGCGATTCATCAATTTGTGTCATTCAAAATATTCCAACGATGATTTTCATCCGTTTTTCCCAAATTTGTATCATAATATTTTCCATAAAGCCACGTGAAAAGTTGAGTAAATAATTCATAATTGATTTTGAAAGCTCATAGTGCTACAAAATTTTCTTATAAAAGTTAGTAGGCGTAAAGTTGAAATAAATTCAGGTTTCATGTTAAACCGGTTTTAAAAAAAAAAATTCCGAAATCTGGTAACGAATGATTTCTCATTTCTCTTTTGCTATTGTTATATTGATTTACAGCGAAAAGGTTCTATATGAAATTAATATATCTCATGTTTAGATAAATGTTATGAGATCAAAATTATTAATTATAAAATTATTTTTTATTTTCAGTCAAACTTCTCTCGATCAAACTTCTCTAAATGCACCCCCCGCGACTATGAAAATATGCATTTAAAGAGAGTGCATTTAAAAAGAAATTCTTTATGTGCTTAGAGCATGCACTTCGAGAAAAAATATATAATGTGTGCAACGGTTTGACCGTACTAATTTAATTAATTTAAGATTTCTCACTATTTGATCTACAAAAAGATTGATTTTATTTACTTTTTTAAATATTTTTTATATTGATATTTATGTAATAATATATTTGAATTAACAATTATTAAATATTTATAAAATCATAAATTTTTTTTTAAAATAAAAAAATTTATTATTATATTTATAAATAATATAAAATAAAATAAAAATAATTATTATTTTATAAAATATCTGTAATATATCAATTTTTAAAATTTTTATTTCTACAAAATAAATTAATATATAAAACCTCTATTACAACTTCATAAAAATTTTTTATTAATTCTTTAAAACTAATTAATAAAATTATATTCTATTTAATAAAACTTATTTAACTATATGAAAAATATTATTAATAAAATCAATTTAAAAGACTAATAAATCATATAATCTACAATATATTATTACTAATAATATTTTTCATATACTTATTAATTTAAATAATTATTTTTAATAAAGAATTTAAATTTTTTTTAAATTTTAAATCTTATAAATAATTAATTTATTATAAAATATTCTTTATAATATATCAAATATAATAAAAAAATTTTACCTTTTTTATAAAACTTAAAACTTTTAAAGCTATTCATTTTTTATTATAAGAAAATAAAACAAATAATAAAGGTAATAAGAATAAAAAAAATAATTTAATAATTTTTTAATAATATAAAAATTATATAATAAAATAAATTATAAGTATATAGATAATAAAAATAATAAAAAATTTATGTAATTAATTAAAATGTAATGATTAGATTAATTAATAATATAATTTAAATGTATTAGATATTTATTATAATTATTAAGCTAAAGTAAAGATTGCTTGTCTAAACTTACTTTAGATTTAGCAAAACATTTAAACCTTTAATTTTACTAAATTTTAATAAAGTTTTGGTTTAATTTTATCATTTTTGTAAGTTTTGATATGTTTATAGTTTGTAACAAAAAAAAATCTAAAATTATAAAATTATACTTTATAAAGAATCAATAATGTAAATTATATAAAATTTATATAATTATTTTTAAATATAAATCTAATTACTATTTGAATATTTTTTAATAGAAAAGAAGAAAATTATTAAAAAAAAAATTATTTTTATTTTATAAATTAAATATGATTTTTTTTAATAAATAAGTTTAGATTTAATTTTAACTTAAAAATTTGTTTTTGAAATTTTTTTTCTTTCTATTACAAAAAAACTTATTTTTTTATAATAAGCTTATAATAATATTTTATTAATTATACTAATTTAATTAAGGTTGATTTGAAAATACTATTCTATTTTTTTGATTATAAACTAATAAAAATTATTAATATATTTTGATATTTTCCTATTTATATTATTTTAACAATACTTCAATGATTTCCTATTAAATTTATATTACAAATATTAGAAAACTAATCAATAATTTCAGAAAAATTTATCTAAAAAGCTTTTAGATTATTATTTTATTAAAATTACTATTTGTTTCTAAATAAATTCTAAATTTTAAAAGTTGTTTATAAAGAATATTTATATAAATTTATATTAATTATTTTAGAAAATAATATAAACTTTTTTTTTTTTATGCAGAAATCTTTTTATATAAAAATTTTATTTGATCTTTAAGTATAAAATTTATCAGTCTTTATCTTTATATTAATACTTTATTATATTTCAAAAAAATTGAAAAACAGTTTTATCTAAAATAATATATTTTTTAATCATTAAGACATTTTTTGATTTATTATCAGATTCATTTTTAATTATCTTAATATCTAAGTTAAAAGGTTACGACAATTGATTTTACACATAAAATTTCAACCTTAATATTTTTCTAAGCCTTACAAGTATCTGTTATATTTGAATCAATTTGACAATTTATTACGTTTTAAAATTTAAGATATATTTAATCAAATTTATAATAATAAACTCAAATAAATTAGTATAAAGTATTATAATAAATCTTAGATAAAAGACAATATTGAAAAAAAAGTAATTTATATATTTTTAAATTGATTTTTTATTAAGAGTAAATTTATTCAATACGGGAGGATGATACTCTTTATATATCGTCTTTATATATATACCTTATCCTAACCTTAACCCTAATCCTAAACTAACTCTAATCTATGTGATACTAACATATGTAACAAATAGGGTTTCACACATGAAAAATTTCTAAGTCTTCAGAATATATATGAAAAATGAAAAAGGATAAAGGTGTGATATGAGTAACAAAAAGAAAGTAATGATGTCACGCCTGCAATAAATAAATTTACTCTTTTATTAATAATATTAAAACTTGTATTTATAAAAGAGTTAATTTACAACTTGAGCCAAAAGCTATTCATTTATACAAAATTAATTTACTATAGCTAACTACTTATTACGTTATAGATTAATTAAATATAAATATATATTCTAATAAAATTATACTTAAATATAATAAAAATAAAATAAATAATAAAAAGAAATAAAATAATTTATAGATATTAAAAGAATTACAGACGAAATAAAATAAATAGAATAAATAAATTATATAAAAAATAGATGAACAGAAATTATTATTGATTACTATTTAATACAGTATATAAAATTTAGACTAAAAGTCATATGCACAAGTTATACTAAAAATAGAAAATTAATGCATGTATTACATAATATTTTCATTTTTATAAATAATTTAATTCAAAATTTTTCTTTCTCCCTTTTTGCAAAAATGCCCAAAAAAAACAGAAAGAAAGAACACCAACCGCGGCCGTTCGGCGTCGCCTATATCTGATAAATTACCAAAGAAAAAGCA